CTTCACAACAGTCCTAGGAGATAGGGATTTCTATAATCCCCATTTTAGAGATAAGGAAACTGAAGCTCAGGGAAGTCCAGTAACTTACTAAAGGGTGCCCAGAGTACTGGCTAGTGAAGTGAGGTCTGACTCCGACGCCTGGGCATTTTTTGCCTGCCACTTACTCATGGGGGCTGGTGGGGGCGGGAGGGGGACCTGCCCCAGCACATCCAGGGCCCTCTCAGGAATAAATTGCCAGCTGCAGCCACACTCCAGGATGGCCTTGACACTGCCCTAGACCCTCCCTTGGTCACCTCCTCATGAATGGGAAAACATTATACCCAGGGTTAATTAAAAAAATATTTCAGGCAACGAATTCGAAACTTTTTTTTTTTAAAGATTTTTTTTTTTTTATTCATGAGAGACAGAGCGAGAGAGAAAGGCAGAGGGAGAAGCAGGCTCCCAAGGAGCAGGGAGCTCGATGCGGGACTCGATCCCAGGACCCTGGGATCATGACCTGAGCCGAAGGCAGACGCTTAACCATCTGAGCCACCCAGGCGCCCTCGAAACTTTTTGAAAACAGGTTTACAGAAAAACTCCCCAATTCTTGAAACTCATTCTGTCTCTGCTAAGTCCATCTCTCTCCTTCCATCCATGTCAGAGGTTTCTGGCTTGTTCCTCCTGGTTGGGGCCAGCTTCCTCCCATCAAGAGGCACCTATCAGTCTCAGTCACTCGCCCTTTACACGTTACTCACATGGCACATAGACGTGCGTGGCCCAGTTGCCCCGTTCGTGGGGGAAGGTGCGCACCCGGCCCCCATGTTTTTCCCGGTCATCCTCAGGCTCCTCCTCGGTGTCTAGGAACATGTGCAGCACACTGTCGGGTACCGGCAACCGCTGGCTGGGAAGGGGGCTCTGGGCACTGCAAGAGAGCAAGGAAACGAGCACACTTAGCCTCCTGGCATTCTCCACCTCTGCACCCACAGCAAAAGTCGTAACCCCTTATCCAGGGTGACTGTGCACATCAATTTCCCACCAGGGGCTGGAAGCAGCTTTTAGATAACCACAAAGCTCTTTCCCCAGTACTGTCTCACTGGGGTCTCCCCACAGCCCTAGGAGGCCGACTTTAGCTGGGAGCATGGGAAACAACTGGGCAGGCAGCAGCGTGTGGTTCAGAGGTCACATTCCCTGAACAGTGGACAAGCCTGAACTGGAGTAGTGCTTCCTAGCTTTGGGGTCTTGAGCAGGTCATGTGTACGCTGTGGGCCTCAGGCTCCTCATCTGTAAAGTGTACTTCTACCTGACAGAGCTTATTGTGAGATCAGCAGAGATACTACTGCTTGAAAGGCACTCTTCAAAGCACCAGGGGTGGCACTTGAGAACTGAAGCTCCACGAAGTGAGACTTCGACCGTTTCGTTCATTGCCGAGTGTCCCAGCCTGGCGCAGAGCGGGTGCTTCCATGAGCATTTACTGGATGGATGAAAACACTCTCCGTATGTGGAAACAGACCTAGGGTGGTGCTGTGGTGCGCGCCAGGAGATCCCGGCGGCGGCCAGCGCTGGAGGCTGGACCCGAGCCCACGTTTCCTGCCTCCTAACCTTGGCCTAGCCAGGTGGGGGCACTCTGGGGCTGTGTCCAGGGCTGTCCTCCGGACCCTCCTTTTCCGTTGTGCCCCTCTTCCTTCCCTGGAGGGCCGCTCCGCACCATCGCCCCTTTCCCCCCAGACGCTCGGGTCCCGTCGGGGTGTCGCGCGAACCAGCACCCTCCCCAGAAAGATCTCCTCGCTCCTTACCGCCGGCAGCCTCCAGTCCCCGGCCGCGCCTGGGCCCCGGCCTCCGCCTCGGCCTCATCCTCATCCTCCGAGCCGCTGCTGCTGTAGCCCACCAGGGGCGCCGCACTCATGGGGCCTCCTCCACGACTGCAGTCGGTATCCGCGAGCGATCGCACCCGGAATTCCGCCGTGCCGGAAGTGCCCTCCCGGGGGCGGGGCCCGGAGAAGCACCGCCTCGGGGCGGGGCCTGAAGGGGCGGGGCCCCGCCGGACTCCGGCGGGACTCTACACCCAGACCACGCTGCCTGCCAGCTCGCAGCGCCTTGACGGCTACCTGGAGCCTCCCGGAATCCCACCCCTAGCCTCTGTGTGCCCATTTCACAGATCGCTCTGGGCCCTGACCTCTCTGTTCCCTCCTCTGTCACCATCCATCCGAGACCAGACCTCCTAGCCACGGACGGTCCCTGGGTCAGCGGTCAGCGCCCTAGATCCAGCGGAGATCCCTGCCCTCGAGGCCCGGACGGGATCAGAGGTCCGGGAGCCCCCTCCTCAAGCCGGTCCAGAGCCCGAGCTCCAGGGGCCCGTCTCCTAAGAGCAAGTTGAGCAGTCAGAAGCGGGTCAGTTCCAGAAGATCAGAGGGTCTAGGAGGCCCCTCCTCTCAAGCGCGGGCGTCGGGTCGCGGGAGCCCCCTCCCCCAAGGCCGAGCAGGTTGGTCGGAAGCCGGGCGCCCTCCCTGGGTCCGCTGAGGCGTGCAGGTCAGGCAACTGGAGAGCCACCCCGCACGCCCGACTGTCCGACCCGGCCCGGCCGCGGGG